GTATTTTCTCTATACCGTGACTGAATCACTCTCTGCACATCGATGTTCCTGGCCTGATATAGTGCAGCAGATGGCCTATGTTTTTCAGGGTTTGCAGCCTGGTAGGTGACGACAGATTGCCTGTGTTTTTCAGGGTGTGCAGCCTGGTAGGTGGTGACAGCATGCCTGTGTTTTTTAGGGTGTGCAGCCTGGTAGGTGGCGACAGCTTGCCCCTGTACATCAGGGTTTTTTTTTTATATTTAGACACAGTTTTACGGTGGGATTCAGGTAGAGTCTATCCATATTTTTTTGTGACTTTTTTTATTTGATTTTTTCGTGTCTAATTAATAAACCTTGCCCTACGTTTGTTTTTTTTTCTATTAATGTCACAGACTCAGATTGGGACAATAAACTTCTTCTTAAATTTTCATCATAATTTATTGAAGATACATTAGGTGAATAATCACGCTCTAAAACAGATACCTCTGACAACCCTTCAACTTCAACTTCAAGTTGCGAAGGTGTATCAATTCCAAAATCATGTTCGTCTACAGCTACCTCCATACGACGCCGAGTAATTTTCTGTGCTGTTATGGGAAGATAGGTATCAAAATGCCCACTGGAAATCTTTGCTGAATCGTAATCCCCTTACCGGATAGTCGTTAGATCCAGATTTCGTATATATGAGACCCTTTCTATAAACTTATCCGCAATAAGTAGCATTTTTCATCATATCAGCAAAATATTCGTCAGGTGTTACGTAGTTATCACCATTCCTGTCGTGGGTCATAATTAAAAACTTGCTCCAGTTATTAACCACATATCTGATAATTTTTGAACGCACCTCCATCGTTGTATCTTGTGTTCCGTACATTAAATAAGACAGAGCACGAAACAAACATGCACCGTCACCAACAGTACATTCTTCAACTTCTCCATTAACGTTCAGATTTTCTCTAGCCATTTTCAAAAAGTCTAACAAACATTCATTTTCATACATTAGATTTAGATAGGCTGAAAAGTCTCGGGCCTACCACAAAGATGGCGCTAGTTTTATCGTAATCATCGCTTTTTCAGTTAGGTAGCTGTTGAAATTTCATGATATTCTACCCATAAATTTGTGAGTCAAAGTGCTAAGAGTGACACTATTTTTGTTACTTTCAAAACAATGGATCAAAAGCAATTTTGTGTTTCAATTTTACACTGCTCCTTGATGTAAAAAAATACCGTTCAAACAAAGCAATGGCTTCATGAGTATTATGAGGACTCCGCTTTATCAGGCACCACGATTAAACGTTGATTTGCTGACACAAACGTGGTCGTAGAGCCACAGATGATACAAAACGCAGTGGACGTCCAAATGAGACAATAACACTAGAAAACAGAAAAATCCACAAAATCGTTTTGACTGATCGAAAAAATGAAGTTGCGAGAGTTAGCTGACATTATGAAGATATCAAAAAAACGTGTTAGCTTTATATTGCATGAGCGTTTGATCATGAGAAAGCTATGTTCAAAGTGAGTGCCACGCGAGTTCACTGTTGACCAAAAACAAGAACGTCTTGATGATTATTAGCAGTGTTCGGCCATGTTTAAATATAACAAACCGGAATTTTCACGTAGATATGTGATAATGGACGAAACACGGATCCATCACTTCCCTCCGGAATCAAAACGATACTCATCTGAGTGAAAAGCAACAGGTGAACCTCGTCCAAGGCGCCCAAAATAACAACAATCGGCAACAATCGAAAGGTTATGGTCTCAGTGTTTTGGAATATGCGTGTTGTTATATTCATATTAAAAAGGAAAATACCATCAATAGTGAATATTATGTTATTGTTATTGGAGCGTTTGAAGGCCAAAATTGCAAAGAAACGACTGACATCAAGACACCGCAACGTGTCACATGTCAATAAAAACAATGACATACAGTGGCTATATGCCACCGTATTCGCCAGATTTGATTTCCAGCCGCTACTGGCTGTTCGTAAACCCCAAAAAAATACTCACTGGTAAGAATTTTTGCTGGAATGAAGAGTTTATTATTGAAACTGAGGCCACAAAAGTGGTATTGAAATGCGGCGCTGGAATGATTGTGTGGCTCTTGATGGAGATTATGTTGATGAATAACGCCAATTTTGAATAAAAAAACCCGTTTTTTGTTAGGTCCGGGACTGTTCAGCCCATGTATAATGATATGCGCTGAGTGGCGAAAATGCATAATAACTTATTTGAATGTAATTAATTATTTATTTTGAGACGCGCGTAGAGGGACAATATTATTGTTCTGGTATGGGAGAAGTGTTGTCAATCCTAGTTCAACTTGTCAAGTTTACCTAACTTTTGTTATTTCACTCAATTATAGTCGAATGAAAATCTCACAAACAGTCTTATTCAATTTCCTTACTCTTGATACGCCACTGTGAATAGTAAAAAAATCCTAATGAGTACGTGAAATCCATTGAATCGTAGAACACTACCACAGTGTGATTTGGGCTCTGCCATAATAAAGTAAGTAGTGTTTTTTTAAACTGTTCCATAGTTCCATCGTTCACGTATATATCATAATCAATGTGTGAGAGAAGTGCCGTATGATAGTTTTCGCAAATATGTTGTAATTCAGTCCAGTTTGAAACGTTTCATGCGAAGAGGAAGTGAAATAATCTGATTGGGATGATTTTTAAATAAGTTTTTTCGATACGGTTTCAACTTTAATGAATTCATTCATGATATCCTTGACCTCCAGAATATTTTCACGATTAGATCCGTTTCATTTACTTAACTAGTGTGATTTCAAAATGATATACAGTGTATAACAACCAAAGGGAATACATTCGTAAATTTTAAAGTCAATATCACATTGTATTGAGTTGAAATCGTACCCCTTTTAATATCAGAAGGGTGGAAGTTGAAACTTCCTAATTTTTAAACAGGAAATAGTTCTTTTCAGTGTCGTTAAAT